TCCATTAAAAATCCCAGACACTTGGACTTTCATATGATCTTTTTTTTAAAAAAAATATTTTTTAGTTGTAGATGGACACAATACTTTATTTTATTTGTTTTTATTTCTTTATATCGTGCTGGGGATTGAACCCAGTGCCTCACTCATGCTAGGCAAGTGCTCTACCACTGAGCTACAACCGTGGCCCTTGTGTGTTCTTGATAATAGGTGTGTGTGCAAGGTCACAGCGCCCATGATCCTTTTTATGCTTTGCACAACAGCAAGTCCAGAACGGCCTTAAATCATTGCCTAGATAATGGCCAGCTGGGAGACACTCGCTTCAGGGCTCCTCCTAGTATCGGTTTCTGAAATTGCCTGTGTAAATCACAGGGATTTTAACAGCTTCATTGTGAAGCAGGAGTAAGCCAGCTTTGTTTAACTGTTCTCTTCAATTTTGATGAAATAATTGACAATGATTTGAAGTTTAGAATGCAGTTCTTAGAGGAAACACCATCAAAGATTTCACTGGATGCCACTGGAAACAGAGATCATTTCCATCTTGAGTATTGGTGTGCATCCGTGTGTGTGTGTGTGTGTGTGTGTGTGTGTGTGTGTGTGTGTGAGAGAGAGAGAGAGAGAGAGAGAGAGAGAGAGAGAGAGAGAGAGAGAGCGCATGTGTGCGTACCTTCATTAATGAAAGGTCATTCTTTGTGTTAAAAATAGAAAAACAGAGCCCGTGGTTAGAGTTCTGCTCGTTCAGCAAATGCTTTAAGGGGTTATAGGTGGACTAAACATAGGTAACCTTTTCAACCACTAATTCTTCAGGGTCCTTTTCAAGATGTCACTTCATGACATCTGAAAATACAATAAATTTTTAAAACGTGATCACCAGTTACATCTGAATATGGAAACTGCCAGAAGTTTAGACCTCCAAAGCCTCTCACAGGAATTCTCCAGAAAGCAAAATGTTTTAGGATTGGAGGAGGTAAACACAGGGCAGTTTTTCATTCTACCAGACAGAAGAAACCCCGTGATATGCAAACCACACCAAGGAGACATGAAGGCTGTAGATGGGTAATTAACATGTGTGTTTAATGAAGGTGTGAATAGCCGATTTCACTGCAGGTCAAGGCATGTATCTTAATGGTAAGAGATGTGATAGTATAAAAGCATCTTGGGGAGAAGAGACAAGAGGATGTGGAAGCAACAGCACCTTCTTTGACTTCTTTACCTCCCTGCCTCTCAGCGCCCACCCTTCCCAGCCAGCTGGTCATTTTTCTCACTGAGTCATTGATTCATCAACACGTTGATTGTGTCTCCAGTGGGAGAGGCATTGTGTGGCTGTGGAGGATAAGAACACAGATCTTTTCTCCAAATATCTCAGAGTTCAAAGCCAAGCAGGAAAACCATCCCAAAACACAAAGTGAGGAGTACTTTTAAATCATCCATTCAGCAGAATTTTCTTGAACATGTCCTACGTACCAGGTACTGTTCTAGACCCTGGAAATATGATGTCAAAATGCAATAAATATGACCAAAGTCTTACATCTAGTCAATAAATTTCTCATTAGTTAGTTCTGATTATCTGGTTCTTTAGTTGAAAGGGGGATGAATCATGGACTTCTATAGGGATTTGGGCCAATTTTAAATGTGACCTAGGGTCAAGCATTCCTTTTCCCATTTGAAAAGCAAGACAGACAGACAGACCTACGTGAGCTTCTCCCAGCTGTCACTGTCCACTTGGGAAGCTGATGCTTCTGGTTTTTTAATCCCCTAAAACCCTTCCGCATTCTGGCTGAGAAGGCAGAACTGTGCTCCCAGCACTAAGGGTCTGATTACTGTCTGGAAGAGGAAGTGACTTCAGTTCTGTGACCGGGAAGGAGGGAGAAATCACATATCCATTAAGAACAACAAATTATGGAAGAAAATGAGCCAACCCATTTCTAAGCCTGGATGAAAGGGAGCATGACGGATTTGGTTTCTCCCACCCCGTTCCATCACCGCTAAACAGGACCACACAAGAGACACGTCTCATGGGAGGCTAGGAACCCTGCCAAGAGAAACCGTTCCCAGAGAGGGAGACAGGGGCTGAGGGTCCTGTTTCACAGCACCAGGGAAGGAAGGTGCTCACCACGGCCCTCCGACTCTCCGTGGTCACATCAAAGTCCAGTCTATTTGTATCAAACAATGTCACTTCAACTGTGTGGAGGGAGGAGCTGACCGTCTCTAACTCGGCACCACTTGGAGGCCACACTGTTGGAAAAATTTATTTTTAAGTACCTAAGAAATTTCTCTATTTAAAAAAAAAAAATTGATGTGAAATCTTTCCCTTTTTGTTTTTAAGTAACCACCAACGGGGTGTATTTTGGTTTTTCCAGCTGAGCTCTTTTAGCCCACTTAGTTTTAACTCTGTTTTCCTAAGATTTGCTAAGATGCGGCCACGTGACAGCTGAGATGAGAAGGCTTCTTTCCTGGCCACCAAGTACCGTCTTCTTTCAGACCGTTTTATACTTACACTCAGTAGTCTGGGTTCTCAGAATCTTGGTTACAGACTTGTGCTTCTCCTCTTCTCCAAATAAATATCTCCATGAGAAATTCATTTAGCTTATGATTTTTGATACATTCATCAAAAAGAAGAAGAATGGAATGAATGGGTGTTTGATTTTTGTTTATCTTCTAGACGGTGCACATTTTTCTTGTGTTTTCTTTCTAACATTTTCCCCGCTTGGAAGCTGGAGTTCCGGAATTCTCTAGCTATAGTCTTCTTAGCTTATGGATTTTTAGTTTTCTGTTTAAGACATTCATATAGCTTTGAGAAATCAGAAAAAAAAAACAAAAAAACTAAAATAGCTGGGCGCAGTGGCTCATGCCTGAAATCCCAGTGACTTGGGAAGCTGAGGCAGGAGGATCATGAGTTCAAAGCCAGCTTCTGCAAAAGTGCAGCACCAAGCAACTCAGTGAGACCCTGTCTCTAAATAAAATACAAAATAGGGCTGGGGATGTGGCTCAGTGGTCAAGTGCCCCTGAGTTCAATCCCTGGCACCAAAAAAGAAAGAAAGAAAAAGATACAATATAAAGTGATTCATATAGCAGGATAACATCATTCCTGAAAAAACTTACCCAGTGTGTGTGGAAAGGAAGGAAGGATACAGAGATAAAAGGGTTGATACATTTCATTTTCCTTTCTGTGCCCTGGGAAGTCTCTGCTTTCTGTCCTGGCTGGTCTCCCTCCTGGCCTAGCTGCATTAATACAGCCACAACCCTCTTTCCACACAGTGATCTCATCATGGAGAACTTCTTCCTGTGGCTCCTGCTTTAGCCCTTCCCCGACATTTTCCTTTCCACTCTCTCCAGCCACATGCATCTCTTCCTTCTCTGAACCCTGACGTGAACTTTAGTGCCCCCTTATTCACTGGCTAAAATCCTCTTATTCCTAGAAAGCATGGTTTGCAAAGTGTCTAGACGCCTGTGAAAGCCTATTTTTGTTTTGTTTTAAGAGAGCTACCATACACTGATGACTGTCACCTTTCATTTCCCAGGAGAGTTTATCAATTTCTCAGGTTTTAGGCAGGATCTGGTGAGTAAGAGAGTCTAAAACTCTAGATAGACGTTACTCCTTAAGGGTCTGGCTTGGAGCCTGTGGGTGTGGCAGATGGTGACAGGAGTGCCACCCTAGATCAGCCCTGCTGATGACCAGGCCTCATCCTCAGCACCGTCTCTGCTTTCCGTGAAGAGACTAACTTCCTCACCAGCCCTGGTAGCTAACCTGTTTTATAACATCTTCTGAGAGAAATAGAACCCAGTGTTGCCTGCCTTTCAGCCCCTACCCACCAGCCCGAACAAAGTGCCCCTGGGAGAAAAACCTATAGGTTCTGGAGACACAGTCAAGTGGGAAATCAGTAAAGAGCTGGGGAGTGCTTGGTGCTATTAGAATATGACCTTCGATTAGATAAGCTTGAAGGTGTCACATTTTTTGTAACAGTCACAATCAAGACAAAGATAAAGAGAGCAGGTGCCTTTTTGGGGGGGGGGACAGGGGCTACTGGGGACTGAGTCCAAGGGTGTGTAACCACTGAGGCACATCCCCAGCCATTTTTTGCATTTTATTTAGAGTTAGGGTCTCACTGAGTTTCTTGGGGCCTTGCTAAGCCTCTAAGGCTGACTTTAAACTCACTATTCTCCTGCCTCAGTCTACCAAGCTGCTGGGAATACAGGCACGTGCCACCACACCTGGAAAGAGAGCAGGTGTCTTTAAAATGAACTCCCTGCGTGTCTTTGCCAAAACTCTTGTTCACATTCAATGGGAAGTCTCAGTGCTTTCTCCACGTCAGTCTGTTCTGGAATGATGTGCTGTGGACATGACCCCGAAGGGTTAATTACCCAATTTGTTAATTTGTTTCTATGAAAGTAGGAAGGAGACTGTTTTTTCTTTCTCTGCTCCGATTCATAGATTTTTAATCATAAAAGAAATATCCTGTAGCTTCTCCTGTTAAAAGCAGACCCAAGTTAGCATTTCAGTTTGACAAGATGAAAGAGTCATGGCATTGGGTGGTGGTGAAGGCTGTGTAATGTTACAAATACCACTGAGCTGTACACTTGGACATGATCAAGTGGTAAATTGTATATCATCTTGCCACAATTTAAAAAATAGTTTTAATGCAAAAAATAATAAAAAGACAATAAGAAAGGTTAGCCCTAAAAGACAATGTCACTGCTTCTACTACTCAGTACCTATAACAGGTGTGCAAAAAAATGTATTCTATACAGGTAAATAGACAAGTGAATACCCACTGGATTCAGCATGCTAGGGTTAACTGGTGCTGAAAGATGGTGATGTTGTGAACTCGGTCTGGGCCAACATGGTGCTACTTGTCCATTCTAGCACTTTCTGTGGTAGGAGTAACCGTCTCACCTGCAGGAATGAGGCACAAGTGCCCAGTGGGCACACTGACCTCCGACCCTCTTTCACAGCTGTTTGTAACCACCAGCCCTCTGTGTCTCTTCCTTTCCTTGCTGTGTAGATGCCCAGCCCACAGAAGGAGAGAGGGAAATATGGAACCAGATCAGTGCTGTCCTCCAGGATTCCGAGAGCATCCTCGCAGACCTGCAGGCTTACAAAGGCGCAGGGCCGGAGATCCGAGACGTATGCCAACGATAATGTAGAACGGATGACACCCGGGGAGGGGAGGGGAACCACATGCAGCACACACACATGCGCACATGCACAGGTTAAGTAATAACCCTAATATTTCCCAGAGTACCAGAGGAACAAGGTACTTGTTCCTTTGATTCCAGTCCATTCACAGTTTCGCACAGTGCTGGGAACCATGTGCAGTTTTAGCCATTCTCTACCCACTTGGGCAGTAACATCAGTGGATGACTCCATGTAAGGAAAACGTACACATAAAGTCTATGAAGACACTTGAATTGCACATTAGGAGGTCTGAGACTATATGTACTTTCAACATTTTGGGATGATTTTGGCAGGTTTCATCAGTGTCACACATAGCAGCCACAAAACACCATGTAGAAGTGGACCGAAGGTCTGTCGTCTTAGGAATTGCTGGGTTTTTGTTGTTGTTGTTGTTTTTAATGAGAAACAAAACAACAAAGTAAAAAAGAAAATAACCAGTGTGGATTTTCAGACTTCTTAATGCCTCCAAGGCAAGGAGCTTCCAATCCTTTTACCTGAAAGCATCAGAGATTTGGGCCTTTGCTTTGTTTTGTTTGACCTGGGGTCTCACTGTGTTGCCCAGGCAGGCCACGGACTCCTGGGCTCAAGTGGTCCTCCCACCCCAGTCTCTAGAGTAGCTGGGACACAGGTGTGCACCACCATGTTAGTTTTGTGGAAACATCAACATGTGTGCACACACACATATGCACACCCACGCATGTGCACACACACATATATTACTGCCACTGCCACCATTCCTCTGAAAAGAACTCCATTGTCCTCATAATCCTCAAACTGCTGAAACTCAGACAAGATAGCCTTGCTCAGAAAGCAACAGGCTATGAAGATAGGGTTTTCCTACTTAGGGGTCACCATTGAATTTAGGTCATCTAGGTAATGTTACAGTCTGGCAGGAAGAGAAGGCATATTATAGAGAAAAGAAAATACCCAAGAATTTGTACTTTATAGTAAATACTGACTCTACTTTAGAAGAATCAGTGATACTGGAGAGGGTTGATCCAATTCAGATATACTTTTTAAATTTAATTCAAAATAACAACAAAAAAAAGAATGAAGCAAGATCTACCCATAGAACCATTTGTCTTATGTTCAAGTGCTAAAATTTTCTTTCAAAATGAGTGTCTTGGGGGATAGTCCATTGAGTCATTGTCAACTTAGGAGTACACATTCACAAAGTACAGCAGGGATTGCATTTTTTTTAGATTAAAACATTTTTCCATATTATGGCATTTTGATGTGGTGCTTATTCTTTCTTTTTTTTTTTTAACAAACTTTTCTACTATGTCTTTTGGTAGGCAATTCAAAACCCCAACGACATTCAGCTTCAAGAAAAAGCTTGGAACGCAGTGTGTCCTCTGGTTGTGAGACTAAAGAGATTTTATGAGTTTTCCATACGCCTAGGTGAGTGTTTCTTTTTCATATCCCATGTTTGAAGTTCTATTTTGCTACTTGAAAACTTAGCAGGAATAGCTTTTCATATTCAACCACCTACCAGGTCCTATGAAAGTCATTCATGAACTACAACTCTGGTCATGTTTTTTAACGTACCCCAGAGTTTCTTCCCCCAAACATTCGCACCTAGAGAGTGTGTCTTTCTCTACTGGCACATTAAAGTGGACTTTGCATTGTCTGTCTAACTTTTCATAGTTTCCTGTTGGATAATCTCATCTTTGAATAGCGGTGAAGTTGGAAGATACAGGTTCTCTGCTAACCCCAAAAGAACTTAGTTGCCTGTTAAAAGTTTAATAAAGTAAAATACAAGGAAACAAACACGTAGTCCTGTCCTTTAGCATTAAAAGCAAACAAACAACACACACACACACACACCCCTGAATGGGTACCTGGCTCTGCAGAACAAGAGTAAGACCAAGTTCTGATTGATAGAAGGCTCAGGGTGACCAACAATATGATGTCATCATGGTCCCCAACAGTAAAGCTGTATGAGGTTTCATTAGTTAATATAGTATTTCTAGAATGAAAAGGGCAGTAAGCATGTTCTACTTTACTTTTGCTATATAATGAATGCCACATTTCAAGCAGAAGTTAGAAATTGAAACATTCTGGTGAAATAATGGTCATGGTGTTGAGAGGACTAGAAGCTGAGACCCAGGGAAGGAGATTTCCATAGACTCTCAAATTTTTTTTTCTGTTTTCTTAACACATATATTTAGATCCAATGAACTGAATCCCAAGGAGCCCAGTTTCAGCTCAAGAGAAGGAAAAAGGTCCATCAGTTAGACCAGGCCATGGCATAACTGGCTGCTTCCCCAAACAGTGTATTTCCACGGCGGGGAATATTTAGGAAAGGCTAGAGGCATCCCTGTAAAGAGGCTGTAAAAGACATGTAAGGACTATGTAGAGACAGCGCTGTCAAATTCTTCTATAAAATGCCAAATAGTAAACATTTGAGTCTTGTGTTTTTGCAGCTACTTAAACTCTGCCTTTTTTTTTTTTTCTTTTTTTGGTACCAGTGATTTATCCAAGGGGCACTTAACCACTGAACCACATCCCCAGCCCTTTTTTTTTTCCAAGACAGTGTCTTGCTAAGTTGCTTACGGTCTCACTAAGTTGTTCAGGCTGGCTTTGAACTTGTGATCCTCCTGCCTTAGCCTCCCATGTCACTAGGATTACAAGTGTGTGCCACCATGCCCAGCTTAAACTCTTAATTTATAACACAAAGTAGCCTTAGTCAACTCAGGAAGGTATGACCATATCTATCTTGTAATTAAAGTTTTTTTTTTTTTTTTTTTACAAAAACAAGCAATGAACTAGATTCAGCATTTAGACCATAGTTTTCAATCCCTGCTACAGAGGATTGATTTTTAAATGTCTTTATGCTGATATATATAGTTTTACATATGTATGTATATGCATATATACACATATATGTACATATGTTGTATGTGTATATGTGTGAATAAAATTCTTGTGAATAAGCTAGAATATAGGTGCAGAAAAAAGCTAGAATATGCACAGAATTCTTTCTCTGTAGAGCAGGTAAATCTAACCCATGTGTTCAAAGCTGCTGTCACATTGCATCCCGTGTCACAAATGGTTCTCATGAGCATGACCTGAAAACACATATCTGTGGTCTTCTATCAGCGTCAGGAAATGGAAGTATTACATATGTGAGCTGAGCTTAGAGAGACTCTTACAACCTGTGTGGCCGTGGGCGTTCTGAGTGCAGGTGGCCTGCTGAGCCACGGAAGGTCCCTCTGTGTCATCACATGCATCTCATCTCACACTGACAGGGGGAAGACATGGAGAGGAAGCACGCACCCAGGCTGTCTCTGAGACTGTCAGCTGGGGATGACAATTGTGCTTTTTTGAGGTATATCTCTGGGCCACCAAAAAATATTTATATTTATCCCTTTGACTTTCAGAAAAAGCTCTTCAGAGTTTATTGGAATCCCTGACTTGTCCGCCCTACACACCAACCCAGCACCTGGAACGGGAACAGGCCCTGGCAAAGGAGTTTGCAGAAATTTTACATTTTACCCTTCGATTTGATGAGCTGAAGGTTAGGCCAAGTGTGTGTGATAGGGACACAGGCTCACACTGAGTACCTGCCACTTCTGCTGGCGGGGGTGGGGTGGGGAGTGAAACACAGCTCCTTCCCCAGAGACATGTGCTGTGGCAAGTGTTTGCATTCCATGTGGTTAAAAGTAATTTAAGATGATGATTTATATATGGAAATTCAAAATCTGCCAAATGAAATAAGAGAAAACCTTTTCAAGTGTCTGTTCCTTATTGAGAACAAATATACTTTCCCTGAAATCTAGCCCACAGTACAAACAGGGTGGATTTTAGAATGATGAAGTTCCTGGTCCTTATTTTAACCAGAAGTTCTGACTCTTGAATAACAAAGAGAATTCCTGGCACATTTACGAAACCCAGTGTCTGGGCTCCTGACACTCATCCCTGCCTGATGCCAAGGGATGACCATCTTTCCTCTCTTCTGAATTTCAGATGAGAAACCCAGCCATTCAGAATGACTTTAGCTACTACAGAAGGACAATAAGTCGCAACCGCATCAACAACATGCATGTGAGTCCTTGGGCCCCGCTGGCCTTTGCCACCTAATCTGAGCATCTTTGACTTTCCTTATCAGGGAGGGCACGAAGAGAAGAGGGTCCTTGCCTGTCATTCCACTTCCAGAAGAGAGTGTTGGAGGATTTTGACTTTGTCTTTATAATTACATCTTCTCTTCTTATTTTCATCAGCTAGACATTGAGAATGAAGTTAATAACGAGATGGCCAATCGAATGTCCCTCTTCTATGCAGAAGCTACCCCAATGCTGAAAACCCTTAGCAATGCCACAATGCACTTTGTCTCCGAAGTAAGTGAAGTTCAGCCACAGGTGTTTTTTTCTTTCTTTCTTAATTGTGCATAAAGCTGCTCACAGGGCTGACATACATTTGTGTCTTTCTTTAGAACAAAACCCTGCCAATAGAGAACACCACAGACTGCCTCAGCACTATGACAAGTGTTTGTAAAGTCATGCTGGAAACTCCGTAAGTGAAACCAGAGGTCACTTCATGGTTGACCGTTTGCAGAGCTGGGGCCTGTTGAGATGATGCTGATGAGGACACGTACCACTTGAGTCAGCACGTTACAATTTATGGGTGTATGATCTGCTTCCATTTCATAGAGAACTCGGTGGTCCATGTAATCATGTACATTTTGCCAACGAAGCAACTGAGGCCCAAATTGCTTGATTGACTTCCCCAAGGTGGCATTCCTTCTTAGAAGGCAGAACCACCACTCAAAGATGCTGTAGAAGATATGTAAGCCCCAAATTAATGGAGGGCTAGATGGATAGCCGTCCTAAACACTGCAGAGATATGAGAAGCAAGAATAGAAGTAAGGTTGTCCTAACAGCGGTAATAGTTCTCACCCTCTCCCTGACTCTGTCTCTGTCTCTCTCTTTTACTCTCCCTCTATCCCCTCAATTTCTTTGTATCTAAGCTAGTTACTAGGTGCTAGGCTTAAAAATGGTTGAGTTATTGAGGATGAAGAAACAAAGGTGTGGGGAAATCTGTACTTAAAACTCTGTAGTACACTTAGGTCTGTACCCCATGCTGTGCCTGTGATTGAGTACCTGACCTCCCTGGGCCTTCCTTGATTTCCTCATCTAATGAAGACCAAACATCATGCACTGTGCAGAGTGTTGGGGAGGCCAAAGGTGTCAAGGCTCCTTTATCAAATTCGATGTCTGTTCAAATGTAAGAGAGCATTCATTTCATATATTTCACTTATATCAAAGTAGAGATTTTTTTCAAGACAGAAGTAGTAATCGTTCTCATCGTGGGGCCAATTCATAATGCCATAGATGTTAAGGAAGTCTCTAGAATTGGCCTGAATCATTTCACTCACCAGGGACCCTATCAAAATAAGTGAACAAAATTCAGACTCCACAGATACTCTCAGATCAATGAGTAGCACATAATTTCTTTGAGATATCTTTGCCAGTCCTGTTCAATCTGCAGCCTGTGTCTTCACAAAGGAAGTTACTCTGACGGGGGACACAAGATCTGCTCTGTAGAAATGAGCTTGACCCTTTTGCCCTGTGATGAAGCTATGATTCTCTATAACCTTGAACAGCCAGAGGGACCTGCTCTAAAATATTCAAGATGAATGGATGAGGGAGCAGCGTAACTGGTGAGCTGGCTGCTGAAGGGCAGAAGAGAAGAGAATTTACTGTTCTCCAAGTTCCCTTATTTTTGTACTGAATTGCCAGTTGGATATATTCAAGAATTATCATGAGAGCCTCTTTCGAGAGCATGCTAACTGCTTGTTGCAGGCCTGGGGTTGTTCTCCATAGAGCATTAGTAGAGTAGCCAGTTGTAAAGTCCAAAGGGCTCAGGCTCCGCTGAGGAAGTGACGCCATTGCCATGTCTTGTCTCTTGCAGGGAGTACAGGAGTAGGTTTACGAGCGAAGAAACACTGATGTTCTGCATGAGGGTGATGGTGGGGGTCATCATCCTCTATGACCACGTGCACCCCGTGGGAGCCTTCTGCAAGACATCCAAGATCGATGTAAGAATAGCTGGCAATGTTCTTTTCCAATAAGAGCCCACGAGTGTTGCCAAACAGACTCCACTTCTCTCCTTCTGGCCTCCATCCCCACGGAGAGTGGCCTCTCCGAGTTCCAAGCCCTTGGGGCGGTTCCCCTCAGAGCAAGAGGCCACTCTTGCTCATGCTCATGTGTTTAGGACAATCTCAAAAGTGGAGCAAGGATGCTGAGATGTTGATCAGTCTCTTGGCTAAAAGCACACTAAAGACACAGGTGACCTGTCCTATCTGCATGCTGCCCCTTCACTGACCCCATGTGCCCCACCAATACAATTTTTTTCTATTGCATGTGCACTAATGTGAAAAGAATTGGGAGATGCTGGATTGCAAGGGCTCATGGTTAAATGCCAAATGGCCCAGTTTCCTCTCCCATCACTCACTCCCTACCTGCGGCCCCTTCCAAATTCCCTGCCGTTTCTAGTTATTTCAATATGCATCATCCATTTTCCTTGCCAAGAGGACCCTTCTTTTCCTCTTTGCTTGGTGGATTCCATTCAGGTATTCTTTAACTCTCCCCATATCCAGGGACACGTTTCTTATGCCCTGCGTGGATACAGTCTGCCTTCTCCAGTGGTCCTCAGAGCACTCACCAGTTTGTATTTTCTGATCCTCCCACAAACTCCACATTTGGGGGCAAGGACGGGGCTCATGATCTATGTACCTAAAATCTGCTTCATTGTTTTGCACTGTATCTGGCACATAACACCTGCCACTCAAATAGATGTTCCTCCGGTTTTTACTGAATGAATGAATGATCATTGATTTAAATGGGTGTGCAGGTGTTTAAGTGCAGAGTACATCCTGTTGGTCCTAAGGTACTGTGATGTGGGTGGCGCCTGGTGTTCACCCATCTACACAAAATGGCCTGTTTACTGCACCGCACTGTCGAGAGAAAGCCTGCAGCCCAGAGGGGCCACAGGTCTGAAGAATGCAAGGAAAATCGTCAACAAAATATGGAACTTGGATTACTCACTTACAGGTCTGGGTTCCTAGGCATGGTTGTTTATAAAACTTTCATGATACTTATTATAATCATAACTATTTGATAAGAAAATAAATATTTATTACAAGAAATTTAAAATAATGAAAACCAAAATATAGAAAATTTAATGTATCTGTAATAATTACACCATAGACAGAAGACCATTGTTAATATGTTAGCATACATATGTCCCTTCTTTGTGTGTTTGTGTAAACTTAGCAAATTAGGACTTGGATACGCAATTTTAAACCATATTCAATCTGCATAACCGTATATTATGGGCATTTTTTATACCAATAAATATGTTCTTTGTAAAGCCTTAATATTTTTCATACTACATATTGAATATAAATAACTCTCTGAATAACTCTATAAATATCATCTGACTATGGACTGAGTTTATTACCTGGTACTTATAAGACATTCTTCCCTAGCCATTTGTTAACTTGTCAGAGAGTCAACAGTTACAAATATGCTGGCTACAATTATGCCTTGTATCCCTAACCTTTGAAAGGCTTGGCTTTACATGTCTTACTGAGTCCTTCTGTCGAGGTTGTAAACAGGGTGTAATGTCGATCTTTGCAGTTAGTCTTAAAGTCTATCTGTTCATGCAGGTTAAGAAAGCCTCGTTCAGAATGAACTTTGTATGTGCCTCTAAGAAAGTTTCAGGTTTACTGAGCACAGCACATACTTGAGTGGGTCATTTTCTTTGACGACATAAAAGGTCCTTATTCCAGGCACCAATCTGTTTCTAACTCAGCAGTTTTAGGGACTGGGTTTATAAGTTCTAGCGTGTTGGCATCAAGTCTGAGGCCCTGGAAGAGGTCCCGTGTGTGTTCGCATAAAGAGCATGCCCCTGTTTGCAGAATAGATGTGCAGAGAGTTTCAGAAGCCCAGGTCGGGGAGAAACCCATTCTGTGTGGGGGCAAAGAAGAGGGTAACATTTGAGGTGGTCCTTGAAGGAGATGTAGGATTTTCCCAATGGACAGCGGGGAGGAAAGGTCCTCCAGGGAGGGAAATCATCAGAACAAAATCACCAAGACCCCAAGGGGATGAACCAGTTAGAGAATAAATGTTAATCAGGTGCTAGGAAAGGTGGTTGGGGTGAAATGGTGTTTTCAAATGATTTCCTTAGGATCTTGTGATGCAAACCCATAAGAAATCACTCCTAACCCCATCCTTAGCCAGGTTTCACCCATAATTCCAGACCCAGACCCATAATTCCAGAACAGCATCTTGTTCTTCCCAGGGACATCTGAAACGTGGCCAGTCCAAAACCAAAGATTCTCATTTCCTAACAAGCCTGTTCCCCGTTCTGAGTTCCTGACATGTGTTTCCTCATTCTCCCGCCCAGTGTAGCCATTAGCCTAGAACTGTCATCCCTGGAATTGTCTTCTTCCCTGGTCTTCACCCTCAGATGTGGTCAGTCAGGTTGGTCCTCCTGTCCATCTCCGTCTGCTCTCCAGGCCTGCTGCTATGTCCAACTTCAGACTCTCAGAGGCTCTCGTTCCTGCTTCTTTCTGGTCCTTTTCCATATTGACCACATTTCTGCTAATGATATTTTCCACAAGTAAAAGCCCCCGGGGTTCCTATTGTACTGCGAACCCACCCTGCGTCTTGCTCTGTGTCTCCAACAGCATCTTGTTCTTCACACCCTCAGCTCTCATCATCCTGAAACGGACCTAGAAATTTCTCAAGAGTATCCACCGCTTTCTACATCTGTTTTGTCACTGCCGCTGGGGGGTTTACAAGAACACTCCTCACACCATGATGGGCTATCTCTCTGTCTTCCCATAGACCCTGAGCTTTAACAGAGAGACCAAATGTCTTGTCTCCAGGATTGGAGTGCCACATAACTGGCATGATGACAGCCAGTCCTGTAACCCTGGCACACATCTCTAATTAACCATGACATTTTTTTCTTGATGAACCTGTAAGTGACCCCCAAATGACTCCAACCCTGTGTCCTGACTGCCTCCTTCAATTTATATGGCCGATCAAGTCCTTTATGATAAAACGTTTAACATGCCAGGATTATGCCCACCGAAAAAGTTTGCAAGTGACCTTTCATTAAAAAAAAAAAAAAGAACTTGGATAATAACCAAATCTGGTACATATAGGGCACAAACTTAGGAGTTTAAAATGAGTGATTGTTTTTGCAGATAGAGTCTTTCTTTGCCAAATAAAGAAGAAGCTACAGGATATGCATAATTTAAGATGACCTATATAGATTTAGTTTTCATGCACTGCCCAAATTATAAATAACTTATTCCAAGGACACAAAAACTGAAGAAACTTGCCCAAGTTCATGCAAATACTAAACAACCAAGAATGGCAGAAATCCAAGTGTCCACCTTCATCAGTTAATAATCTTAACAATCAGCCTTAACCGTCTTCTCAAATGTGATTAAGACAGAGGCTTGGAGCTCCAGAAGCTCCCGGTTTAGTGAAGGAGACAATTTAACTTGGTCTGTAAATCCTCCAAGGTTCTGTGATTGGGAATGCATGGGCCGTGGATCTCACTACCTGGTGAGTCCAGTAAGGTCAGAAGAAGCTTCTTGGGGTTGGAGAATTTCAGTTGACATCCCCCCCCCGCTCAAAAAAATGTTAAGGTTTTGCCATTTAAACAACTGGGGAGAAAGCATTCTGGAGACATTAAATCAGGTTTATAAAATCAATTAGTAAATCTCCACTGAGAACTGAGTAGAGGCCCTTGTATCCTTGCACTTGGCTATGAATATAAGACCAAAAGAAAAACCAAAGTCTTGAGTATTTGTCCCCCAAAGTAAGTAAAATGTACAACTGCAGTATAGTGTAAAAGTTAATAATGGCTACAATCCTGCAGAACTCTCTAGAAGCCCAGGAGCAACTCACCAGCACTAGGGGTTGGGAAGCCTGTTGATCATTGTTGTTTGATTTCTGTGAGATGATGATGGATGGGCAGAGTTACTAGGATATTAACAATGCACTGTGCTTCCTCCTAGATGAAAGGCTGCATAAAGGTGTTGAAGGAACAGGCCCCAGACAGTGTGGAGGGGCTGCTGAATGCCCTCAGGTGAGCCAGCCCTGGGGAGGACTGACATGGGGCAGCCACCCCTCCAGATCTGTTTCAAATGTGGATGCTGCTGGGGACAAAGGGCTGGAGCACTGCTTGCATATTTTAACACATTTAATCTTCCCAACAACAACCTCTAGGGCAGCACCATTTTATTATTCCCTTTTTGGAGGGGAAAATGAGATTTAAAGGAGTCAAATTACTTGCAAATGTCTCACAGCACGTGAACAAGCTAGGCTCTAAACCCAGGTCTGGGTGACCCCACAGGTCATGGGCCTGACTCTTGGCTGGTCACCTTATGGTTAGTGGGGCTCCTCAGAGGGAGAGTCTCTGGGTCCCCCTTCCGTCCTCTCCAGCGGTTCCCTCACCTGGCTGCAGACAAGGCTGCTGTGGGTTGTGTGTGAAAACACTGATGCTCCCCGTCTGAGCCAGACTGCATGACTCAGATCTCTGGGCCAGAGGCTCAGGCATCTCTTTTGTTTATTTGTGTTTGTTTGCTTGCTTCTTCTAAAGCTCCCCAGGTGGTTGACAATGTGCAGCTGCAGAACTGAGAACCCTGCTAAGTATTTGCCCAGCTGTAGCTCATTCCAGCTGCTCACTGCTAACAAGTAATGCCCCAACACCTCTTCTCCTCCCAAGGACACGTCTGTTTAGTACCCTTCAGGGAGGGGAGTCTCATTTTTTAGCGGTGGCACCTCTACAGGAGTTCATTGACTCCTGCCACCGTGCAAATCATCCCAGTCCCGGATTGCCATCAGGAAGGCTTATGCTCCCTGCTGCCTTTTCTTCCATTTCCCTAGTTCCACTTACATACATACAGCAAGTGTTCAGAAGCCCAAGTGGAAGGGATCAGGGCTCTTCCATCTGTGTTCAGTGCTCATGTTTTATGCCCCAATCACATTGTGCCATTTAATCATCTCAACTCAAAAAGACACAAGGCTGACCTATTCTCCTCATTTAATAAATGAGCAAACCGAGACACACTTACAATGACACTGATGTTGGCGCTGTTTTTCTGAGTTGCTCAGTCAGAACCCATCATTCTTCAAAGTACATGTATTGATAGAGAGCCCTTCCAATTCCACGAGTTAGCCAAGGCTTTCTCCGTTGGTGCCCACTTCACACCAGGCTGGCTTTCTGTACACAGTAAGAAGACTTTTAACTTCTGAATTTCCTGAACTTTTCAGTTTCATTCAATCAAGCAGAACTTTCTCAAGAGCAGGGTGCTGTGCTAGGTTGGGAGTCCCATCTGAGTGTTAGAACACATGATGAGATGAAAGGAGCACAGGCTGCCAGGGCAGCCAGAACCAAGTTCAACCTAAAAGTAGCAAACTGTTCACAAATCAAAATCATTAGCTTTGAGATCTGTTTTCTCATCATATTAAGGCCATTATCTCATCTACAAAGTTATTGTGACGACATAGAAACTTCTATGGGATGCCTAGGACATGGTTGAGACTTTATCTTGTTAATTTTTTACCTTCCTTTGCACAGACAATGTCTACATAAGGTTATGGAGAAACTGTACATTGAAACCCCCCTCCCCCGCCCCCAGGGTTTGTTCATCTGCGTGTGTGCCCCCTGGTGGTGGGAATGAGGACAACCATCAACATTTTCAGTTTGGGGAAATCCATATTTTGAAATTTGTGACAACAGGGATATGTAAAAATATGTCCCAATGAATTCCACTCTATAATAATAATGCACCAATAAAATTTAACTGAAAAAAAGAAAATGGGCATAACTCAGTGGTCAAGATTCCATACTCATCAGGTAAAAAATTATGCCCTTGAAAAATGAGGTGGATTGCATTTCCTTTTGTAATTACTTGCTTAGGCAGAAGATCTACTTAGTTTAATAACTTTCATACAAAATCCCTTTGGAAGGAAGGATCAGATAGATATTAAAACTGCTGCCTGAGGATGCCAGGAAGTGTGCTCTCTGTCTAAAGAGGTGAGCCCTGGTGTTTGATTTATCTCAGTGAGCTTCCCAAGGTAAGGACGGGGATGTCATTAGGGAAACTTTCTTGGACTCCTTATTGCACACTGACCTCCACCTTTCTGTCCCCACTCAGGTTCACTACAAAGCACTTGAATGATGAGTCGACTTCCAAACAGATTCGAGCAATGCTTCAGTAGAGCGCTGCTCAAAGAAGAGGATCTCTGTGCTGACCTCAGAAGATGTATATGTTTACATAATTTAATACAGATTGATGTTAATACTTGTGTATTTACATAACCGTTTCCTTCCTGTCACTGAAATATATGGACCTTAATTTGTATCCTGACTGACTCAACCCAGCAGAGCATAAATTGACTTGAGAGCCTTACCTTTGATGTCTGCAACGATACCCCCTTCTCCAAAGGCCAATTTGGAGATTTTGATCTTTGCTACTGGAGTCCTTTAATGACACCTGTAAAAATCAGAAATTCCTAATAGTTTGTGGTAGTGTTATAATTCTAGATGTGTTATCTCTCTGGGAAGTAGAGCTTATAGAAACACAAAGCATTTGATTTCCTTTGTCAGCTCAGCTACAAGAAATACAACTGTTATCCTGACAGAGGAAGAGAGAAATCCAGGAAAAGAAAAAAAAATGCATGTGGAGAATCAAACCCAAGTGTTCTGAATTCAGCACGCCCCCTCTCCTCAGCCTGCAAACTACACGTGCAACTCTTCCATTTGCACATGTTTTATTAATCAGAATATTCACTTTCTGTCTGGGTTTGTGTCCCTCTAACATACCTTTTACTTTTGCAAGAGGAAAATCACCTGTATTTTAATTGGATAGTGAAGGAGCATGGGGGTAGAGAGATGCGTTCTTACAGCTGGTCTGACAAAGGTGGTTGTCTTTAGAATATTCATGAGAGGTGGCACCAGTCTGCATAGACCCTCTGCATACAGGGATAGAGACATAAGCTCTGACTTTGAAGTCATAGGTAAATTAGCTGATCTCTGTTGTCTCCAGGTCTGAGGACACAGTTCCTCCTGTTAGGGGATCCCTGTCTTCTACCCACGTGGACCATTCATGTGGGAACAGAAGTCTAGGATGTGTTTTTAGTTATCAAAAAACTGGGGGAATTTAGAGGAAGAAGATCCACATTTCTGGTTAACTGGTTTTTAAGAGACAACTCCGTATTGCTCACAATTGCCAGATTGTTGCAGTGGGAAAACTCTGGTCTAAGTACCTGGATTTAGTCCTTGGCTTACTAATGAAACATAGTATGATATTGGGAAGTTTTCTTAGCTCTCTACATCTCAGCTTCCTCATCTCTAAAGGGGGCAATTAAAACAGACAATCTCCAAGAATCTTGTTAGTCTAGAAGCTGATAAAATGGCTGGCTCTGCCATCCTTCTTCCTGAGTAGATGCCAGTCAGCACTGCCCCACTGCCTGCCAACGTTACGAGGCCTATAGTCATTCTTCTGCAGAGCAGAGCTAAGTTAGAACAAAATCTTGGAAGCCTATCCTGACCTCCAGTGGGAAAATGAGACCCAGCGTAGGTGGTCATCCAGGATGGCTCCAGGTGGGTCTGGATACCAGGATGCTTCCCTCCTGAGTCCACAGTCTTCCTTTTCACCGTGTGGCCTGTGAGTTTATTCTATGGGATGGGACTGGACCATTGTAGAGAAGTACTCAGTCTGGCCTATTTCCGCCAGAAGAAGAAATGCCTAAACAGGAAGTGAATGATAATCCTGGATGTTGGGCCCCGGTCCATCAGGGTCTGGCATCATTTGCAACATTCCAAGGAATGAGATACGTTTGCTTTCTGGACTTTAGTGCCCAGCTGACTTTCCCTTGTATATTTGGTACATACATACATTTATGTTGTCCAAAAAGAGGGGACAAATGCCTGTTTTGTTTTATCTTAACAAAGAAATGCAGTCAAGTGGCAGGAAATAGTCCCTGGTCTATGGGTCAATGTCAGTCAACCGATGGAGACAAGGCCCTTTTCCTTAGAGTTGTTCAATAAGCATGGCTGCTTGGATGGAGCTTCTCTCATCAAAAAAGAAAAATACTAGATGGACTTCAAGAGCTTTTCAAAACCTAGGAATTCTAAGACCCCGGAGGAAGCCAGAGAGTGTGGTAATGCAGGATGAGCAAAGTCCTTAAATATTTAGCCTAAGTGACATCCTGCATGGCAGCCAGGGCTTTGTGTGGACAGATACTGTACAGAGTTCGCAGCGCTTATCATCACTATGAGCAGATTAAAGTTTGAAGAGAAGAAAGGATTTGCCCGTCACCATGGGGCTCTTGAGGCACAGACCCAGGGACTTGAACCCAAGCCATGTGTCCACACCACAGCTGCCTCTCAGCCAGCTAAATGAAAAAAAAATGTTAGGGATTATCTGTCAAATATTATATATATATATATATATATATATAAATAGTTGAGCACATTTATAATTTTTAATTAGACTTTCTATCAAATGGGACCAAACATATGTATGGGCTGCTGGCCTGCTTCAGTTTAGCGGGGCCACCTTGTCTCACAGTTGAGACTCAGCACATGGATTCTGGGATATCCAGGGTCTGAATTGTTGCCTCTGATCATCAGGAGGACAGGCTAAATGTCTGTGATCACTACCTGGAGATGGGCCTCAGGTCCACCCCAGAGCTGCTGTGGGAGACAAATTGTCTTAACAGACTGTCCTCCAGGCATCAAGAGCCCATGAACAATCAGTTTGTTTGTGCTGCATGCACACACGTCCAAGACTTGTGGGTGGGTTAGGGGAAAATGCTAGCGACAGTGTCAATGTCAATGTTAACTATCTTTCGTATTTGATGTCTCATAGTTTTCAAATAAACAGTGTTTTCCATGACTCAGATATTTATTTTGGGGCAAACAACAACATAAAAATTATGTTTCTCATATATATTCCTGTCCTGGCATTTTAACTCTGTTCTAAGAAAACTTTTATGTGCCACGAGGAATGAATGTTTAAAAAAAAAAAAAGGTAGAAATAGATGTTTTGAATAGTACTGACCCATTGGGTCTGGAATATCACCCAGAAAGAAGACCATGGATATTATCTTTTAATTATTAGTTAATATCATGCTCCATCAATATTTGCTCTTAGTCATCACCATTATATCAAGGCATTAAGAATAAACCTAGGATTTTGATACATCATCACATTTAAGGAAAAAGAGTCTCATTCTTTCTCAAAAGAAAAATAAGGACCACAAATCTTGGGATTCAGTTGTGCAATAGAGTTCAGGGACTTCTCATTCGTTCATTCTTGTATGCTAGATAGCTACAGGAATTTTATTTCAAGAGCATAAAACTTTAGATCCCAGTTTTTCCAGCACATCTGTAAAGGCTGTTGCATACCCAAAGCTGTTTTAAAGTTGTTATATGTTGTTTGCTGAAGTCATTGTAATTTTTTTTTTTTTGCCTACTTTGCCTCTTTTTGTACAGAAGTTTTGAGTGTGAAGTGAAAATTAAAGTTTGGTACATACATATATTTAAAAAAAAATACACCTTTATGTTATATGACATTCGAGGTTAAGTGTGTGATAAGTTTATGATGACTGGCCCACATAGATCTTTGCTAAACCTGCTCTGAAGAAATTACACCAGCTGCCCTTTATCTCTCTACACCTCAGTGTCTTCAAGTACAAGATTCAGTTCCAAAATTGTGCTACTCATGGTGTCATCTATCCCTTATTCATTTCAGCAAGGACCCTTCATTATAAAAAAGACAAGATTACTATCTAGAGTCACATGAGACCTCCTTGTCCAGAATGCCAAGAAGCCCTTTTCTCTTTCTTTTGAGTGCACTGGCACTTTATGGATTTGGCAACATCAGCAAAAAAAAAAAAAAAAAAAAAATATTCCATCTCTATACATTTTTCAGATAATGCACTAAAACAATTCTTTTAACTCTTAAGCATGGAATCATTCCTAGGGCATTCCTTTTAATCCCTGCATTTCTGAAGATGATCACCTGATACCTAATTATGTGTGCATTCAGCGGGTCAGGGACCTCCAAGAGAGACCTGCTATGGTGCTATGGTGCTCTGTGCAAAATTCAAAGGCACTTAGAATGATTTGGGGGCACAAAGGGAGATGAATGAGAATATTAAACTTTCTGTAAATTGACAAATGGCCAAATTGTGTAAAAGAAAAAAAAACTGAAAGGAGCAAGAAGGACTGAGGTTTGGGAGAAAGAGAGAGAGAGGGAGAGGGAGGGAGGGAGGGAGACCTAATTAAATGAGTGTTGAGAGGCAAGAAATATGAAAATGAGTAAGGTATGTGAAAGACTGTCAAGACAAATATAGCTACTGAAGAACTGAGGGATGTGAGATTCAGAGAATCTTTAATAACAGTTTGAAAGTTGGTTGTAATTCAGGGTTCTCTCCACAGGATGGGGATGAGGGGCTCAACTGTGAATGAAATGTGAATATTTGCAATCTGTATTCACACAAAATTTCACCCCTTGACTTATCAGTATGCAGATAGAATTGCTAGGTGTTTGCTATTTGAAGGGTTTGTATTATACATGGCATCAAAACCTCAGTGGCTGTTAAATAATACTAATTATTTTTGATGAATTTATTTAAACTATTCATATTCATTAAATACATTAAGCCATTCAATATCAAAGTCCTGGTGTAAATGAGTCTAGAACTTCACTGATGTGACCCCCCTCGGATGCAGTAAGTAAAGGAGAGTCCTAGGTGCTCCTGCTTCTGCTCACATGTCAACTCAAGAGATGAGAGCAGGTACCTTAGCCATGTCAGGTCTCTGTGACTTTCTTCTTCTTCTACTTCTTTCCTTGCCTGTTTCTCTTGCACAAAAATCTGGGATCCTATCATGGCTGGGAAGTGGTGCTCTGAAAATACATTCTGCATTCAGAATGCTTCCACAGAATGCACTTGAAATTGTGATAGGATTTTATGTTTCGGAATATAGTTCTAGATCAGTCTCAGGTGAACAGTTCATGTAAACACTTTGAAGTCTTTTCTCTGTGAAGTTTTCCAGTCTTCCCCATTGAACCTCACACTTCTTGGTTTCCTTCTCTCTGCCTTCACTTTCTGTTCATTTACAAATGGAACTTGTTTGCACCATGACAGGCTTTGTTTTAAGTCAGGAGCTACATTTTGTTAACCATTCCTAAGCTACCTGTGAGCTGAAGGTATTGGTGCTGGGGTTTGAAGACCAGAAGACTTAAGAGCCTCCTTATACCGTGGAGAAGGTCAAAAGTAGTTGGGGGAGCTTACCTAAGTATTTTCCTCCGATGCCAATATCTTTGAAAAAGATATTTATTCCTTTTGTATTAAATAATATCCGTGGAAAGGGTACAGAGCAAGTGGTGTTGTATGTGAATGTGAGAATGACATGGCCCATGCACAGAAAGCATAATGAGCACTAGGTGGAATCTGACATTTACTGTCTCCCAAATAAATAAATAAATGCCACAGGCATTTCCACCTCCAGGAGCATATATGCACACCATCTTCCTCGCTATCTGAAATCTACCTGCTCATCAATGTCAAGGTCATTCTCCCATTTTCTCCATGGGGCTTTTTCTGCCTAACCCCAACCCAGGCTCAAATTCTCTCTTTGGGGTCCCTACTGCATTTAGTTCATTTTCTCCAAAATATAGGTCACTTCACAGTACTTGGAAATATGTATTTTTTTTCTCCATTAGATTTTGAGTTTCTGGGGACAGAGAATGTGCCTTTTAGAGGGCTGAGTTCAGTATAGGCCAGGGGCCAATTGAGGCTTCCTGCAAAGGTGAAACTCTGGGGTCCTGAAACTTGGGTGTGTTGAAATGAAACTTTCAGAATTAATTTCTCCCACTCAGCAATCATTCATAATAACAAATTATCTGCTCCCTCATATGGTCAATTTTATTCTTGGAAGAAATATTTACTTATCGCTCAGCATATTTTTAACCTCTGTGGACAGAGAGCGTGCAGACTGTGGCTGATATGCCAGAAGTCCAGATGAGAAATCAGGCTGTTCTTGATCAAAAGTCAGAGTCAGCTGGTCCTGGAAAGGGCAGGCAGCCAACATGCTAATCATACAATGTCTTGCTCAGTCTGGGACAAGACTGCTGCTCTGTCAGAGAACCGAGTTCTACACAGTCAAAGGCAGAAGGGCAACAGAAACAATGTTTCAATGACTAGACAAATTGATTCAGCACCTTGGATAGCAGTCTACGAGTCCCTAACAGAGCACAGCCATTTGTCTAGAATTTGCAGCCTTATTAGTTGGTTCGACTTTGTCTCTAGAGTCCTGGTTATCAAAGATAATATGTTTCTTTAAAAGGAAATTGCTAAGTAGCTGGAAAATCATTTCACCTTCTTCCCAAGGCTTTGGGATATCACACCAGAAGGGCAGAAAGTGGTTTTAGGAAGATGCAGGAATCATGTTTGGGGGTATCATGGTATTTTTAGATTCAAGCTTAATTTATAGAAATGGCTAATCATTTTTAAGCCCCACACCTCTAGTTGATCATTAAGTCCTAACACATAGTCTTTCTAGAGAGTTCTCAAAATACCAACAACTCCCAGTCTGGTTTGCTTTGGTTACCCCACTTCTTCTCCTCTTTGCCAGATCACTGATTCAGTTTCCACACAGCCAGTACTCAGCTTTTCATGCATCTGACCATAATGGTGTCCTTAGAAATTTTCTTGAGGTACATTCGCAGAGATGTTAATGCGATGTTCCATGAGGGAGAGGTTTCAATTTTCAAGCATTTGTGGAAACCATTAAAGAGATTATTTGCTTATTCTTTTTACTACCAGATTTGTTTGACATTGTGACTCTTGATGAGGGCTTAACTGTGTAATATATAGGAATTCTCAAATGTATTTGTCTGAGAACTCTTTCGTATTTCACAGAACATCTGTAATTTCTCAGGACATTAGCATTCTGTAGGAACACTATGTCATCAGACCCACTAGTCTGAGCCCCAAGGCCCTTTCTGAGATGGACCATCCAATCTCCCTATCACACTCACTGTCTGTCAATCAGGCCATCCCATTTTCTCAAGCTACAAAAATGTGCTGTTTTCTAACATACCATCTATTTGTTTTCATATTTATGTGTGGCTAGTAATGCTGCTCCTTCTGTCTGAAATTCCATTTCCCCTCATCATCTGCCTCGTGAAATCCTATTCATCCTGAAGATATTACCAAAATGTTTCATCTTCTATGAACCTTTTTGTGAGCTACTCTAGCAAAGTTAGTTACTTTCCGGTGTGACTCTCTCTCTCTCTCTCTCTCTCTCTCTCTCTCTCTCTCTCTCTCTC